CCAATTGGAGACACTGCATAATGGATTTTACCCTTAGTGGGTCTCTTCCGTGGTAGTTTTCCTTCATGCTCCCTGGTTTATGCTCAACCCTTTAATGGGATTTGAACCTACAGGCTTTGTATTTGATGATTTAGCTTTAGAGCTGTTTTGGTCCCATCACTGGTACCTTGCAGGAAGGGAGGTCTCACAGAACCTATGCAGATATATTTCATTTTGTTTTCTTATATGTTCTCGTACTAGAGGGAGTTGTAACTGTTACTAATCTGGGCTTAATTTTAGACAACTCAAGAATGCCTGATTTTAAGCCACTCGTCACTGTATGATGAGACTGCATTTTCTTCCATCTCTATATATTCTTGCAGATTTGGCTTGGATTTACTTTGAGACCAAAAACAATGTAAACTTTTTCCAACTCCATTAAATATAATGGCAGCCTAGGCAATTTCTCCCATTCTCCATTAAGCAAAAGATTTGAGTATCACATTGGATAGAAACAGTTTTGACTTTTAAGAGCCAAACTATGTAATTCTAGACAGGGGCCATACAAATATGTACTTGTTTCTTCTCAGCAAGCTTTGGAAATGTTATTCATGCAACCTAACACTCTCTGAGCTTGCTTGTTTTCTTGTAGACGTTTCATTACCCTAACTAAGTAACATCATCAGTGCTAGTTAGGGTAATGAAACATCAGCAAGAAAGCTCAAAGAACACCAAGGACCCCTGATTTCAACCCTGAGCTACAAATATTCTCCTTTATTGGAACCTAACGCTCTATATTTGCTAAAAACACAGTACAACATACCTTAAAGCTCGCTCTCCCTTTTCATTTAAGAGGTATAACTCTATATCCATCACATGGCTGGTTAACATTTTTACTAGAATCAACCAAAAGCAAGATGCTAAAAAAAGGAGGGAGGATTGAAATAAAAAAATCAAGCCATATGTTTCAGCCACAGTAGATTAAATTCAGAAGCAATGGTAGAACAGACCAGAAACTCATCCTCGTTATTATTCTGGAACATGATAAACTATTTTTATCTTCAAGCTTTTTAGCTTTCATCAGCTAGCCATACCCTTACTCGGATTCGAACTTGGACTTCCTGCATGTTAGGCAGTTGAATTAACCTTCTGAGCCACAAGTTTTCCTCCCTTCATCAGGGATATATATATTGATATATATATATATATATATATATATTGATATATATATCAATGTGAATATGGACATGTGGTCAGCAGAGGTCAAGTGTAATTTGAAAACTTTACCTTTGCAATCATAAGATCAAGCACTTTGCAGTTCAAGCACTGAAGATGGAAGTTATGTACTGAAGGCATAGTAATAACTACCTGTTTTCTGAAGTCAGATTAAACCTAGCATTCATAGACAAAATGGTTTTCTGTGCATCTCTGAAAACAAGTGACACATAGAGGTGTGTTGGCCTGGCAAAGATTTATTTTCCCCATTCTTCCTGTCTTTCTTGTTTTCCTGTATATTAGTAACTGTTAATAGAAAACCCCAAGTAGGAACACAATGATAACTTTTGAAACAATAGAATTCCCCAAATCTCTATTGGGATCATTACTATTTAAGACGTCATGGTGGATTTAATTTTGGAAATTCATAGAAAAAGGACCTAAGTAAAACATACCTTAATACAATGCCTTTATATAAATCTGAAAAAGAAAAAAGTTACTGTTGAAGTGGAAAAATAAAGGAAAAAGTATCCAGACCACGAGTGGTATTGACTTACCTACGCTACTGGTTTGCAAATGTGAGCGTGCACGCTCGCTTCGCTTGCGCACGACACCTCTTCACATACACAGGACCTTCTGTGGATGTGCAGAGTGTGAAAAACGGGACATGATGAAGTCTGAGCAGGTGGGCGGAGCCTCCCGCAGCCGCCGCTACCGGTTCACGCGAACTGGATAGAACTGGCTGAATACCACCATTGATCCAGACAATAAAAAATCTTGGCCATGAAATAAGATTACAAAGTCTGGGGCTTCCTGGTTTAGATTAAAAAAAAAAAAACAGCAATGTTGCATAAAGTAACAAAAGCCAAAAAGGAAAACTCAGGTTAACCAATGGAGATGAATGGCAGGACATTCAGAACAGAGAAAATAAAGGTTTTTGTTTTTTGTTTTGCAGTTTTTACACATGAACCATAGAATTTCCTACTACAAGGAACTACTTGTGCTATTTGGAGATACTGATTCACCATAGTATGCAAAGCCAGTCTGTTCTGATTGACCTTCCTATGGTTTGAAATGAAGCCAACAATGACAATATCACCATTCAAACAACTTGGAGGAACTTGTAGCATCCAATATGGCTTCATTCAGGGTTTTTATAACTTGCCTATACATATTTGCAAAAAAAGTAATTCTATTATATTTGCTGTTCCTCTAAATTGGTAACTGTTAATGTTGTTGCTATTAGTTGCAAAGTCGTATCCGACCCATTGCGACCCCATGGACAATGTTCCTCCAGGCTTTCCTGTCCTCTACCATCCTCTGGAATCCATTTAAGCTCATGCCTACTGCTTCAGTGACTCCATCCAGCCACCTCATTCTCTGTTGTCCCTTTCTTCTTTTGCCCTTAATCTTTCCCAGCATTAGGCTCTTCTCCAGTGAATCCTTTCTTCTCATTAGGTGGCCAAAGTATATGAGTAACTGTTAATAGAAATCCTTAAGTAGGAGTGCAATAATATTATTTTTTCA